GGTGGGGGGGGACAGCGACAGCGGCAATTACGCCTATCCAGCAGCTGCAGATCAACCTCACGATGGAGGGGGAGGAGGGAGGGGGACGAGTTTTTTATTAGTCGGGTGAGGATAAGAGTTCTACACTGCACTTTCGACCTTTGCGAGAGGTGGCGAGCGGAGCAAGAGCGCGGTGCGCGCGCGTCAACGCTGCGCGGCGGCTCCCCCGCCGCGCCCCCGCGACCCAAGCCCCTCTCACTCGCAGTTCGCAGCCGCAGCCTCGGGATCGACGCCGAGCCCCAACTCTTGCCCAAGCCGCTCTTCTGTGTCGGGTTGTGATCTGGTTGTGATGAGGGGTGAGGGGGCGGATTGAAGATCCCTCACACCAAGTCCAAGATCGTGCAGGGTGGGGACACATGTGGCCCTAAATCCTATCTCGCGCCGCAGAGTTTGACCATATTATTTATTTATACACTGCATGCTGGGGGCCCGTGGGCGCGCGGGCCGCCGGCAAGTCCGCCGGCCGGCAGAAGGTAGGAGGTGCTGGACGCGCTCAAGCGGCTCGCCAGCGGGTGCATCGTGTGAGTCGCCGGCGATGCTAGTCATGGACGAGGACCTGACGAAGACGAGGCGGCGGAGACATTGACGAGCTCGTGTGTTCCGACCTCGCAGAGTAAAGAAAGAAAGAAAGCGGACAACCCAAGGGAGGGATGGGAAGCAGGGAGGACGACACGCCGCCACCACACAGGGATTTTAAGGAGAGGGGTATGATGCGCTAGCCGTCGCCCACCCTTGGGCGTCCGCCTCTTCCTATCTCTCTTCGCAGTCTCTCGCCGATTCTCGCTGCAACCTACCTAGGAGCTAGGTACCATGGTCCATGCCACCTCGCGGTCGTCCCACTCTCTTCGTTCTCTCTCTTGTCGCTTCTTCCTCTGTCGCGTCGCTCTCCTCTGCCTCGTTCTGCGACGCCGCCGCTGCCTGCCGCTCCCTTGCTCTCGCTGCTCGGCGCAGCTCTGCCCTCCTCGCGGCATATTTTGGCCCCTCGAGTTTATCGAGCTCTCCTCGCGCAAGCGGCAAGGACGACTCTTCTGTGTTCTGACGCCCACTGCGATCATTTGCCGCCAGGTCGTATCATTGCTCAGGTCCACTCTCTCTTCGAACACTTACTTGTACTTGCTTCCACAGATGATGTTGGCGCTGGGGTCCCCTTCGGGAGTATCGTGACAGCTGCCGACGGGATTACCACAGGTGTGTCGCCCTCCTCGCAGAGTAAAGAAAGAAAGAAAACAGACAACCGAAGGGAGGGATGGGAGGACGGCACAGTCCTGCGTGCCGGCCGGAATTCTTTTTGCCATACGCGGTGGTGTCGTCGACGGCAGCCTTGAACGGAGGGATGTCGCACCAGCATGAAGCCTCCGGCTCCGATGACGACATGGAGTCGGAGGACCGAGCGATGGACGCTCTCGCTGCAGCGATCAGCGAGTCGGAGGGAGCTCAGTTCGTGGAGCCGGAGGTGACGCGAGAGCAGCAGGTCATCGCTGAAGTCGCACGGCGCCGAGACGCGGCAGAGACGAAGCGCAAAAGCGACGCCATCTTTGACCGCTTTGATGCGGACGGTGACGGCTATCTCAACTTTGACGAGCTGCGCGCGCTCGGGCTGGCCACTGGCGGTGAGCTGCCTCACCCAGCGTTCGTCGCGATTTGCGAGGAGCTTGGCGCTGCGCCACATCGCGGCGTGACAAAGAGCCTGCTGCTCACAATGTACACAGACGCCGGCCTCGGAGATGCGCACCGCGATTATAACCTCATCTTTTCGTAACCTTTTGGCGAAGGCGGTTGAGCCTGCGTTGGTGCTAGGTCGGTAAAGGTCGGTCGGGGTCCCCGCGTTTTGCCTTTTGGTGGCCGGTTGCGCACACACGGTGACCGCGCTCACCGGAGTGCGCGCCGGAGACCGGTGTGCGGGAAACGTTAACTTTTGGCCTCGATGTGCGACTGAGTTCCGTACTGGGCGGGCGCGGCGGGGGCGGCGCGGCCCCTCTCTCTCCTCAAACGCAGATACCGCCCAACCCTGTTCCTCTCTCCCCGCCCGACGCGCACGAGCGGCGGTGGCCCGGGTTTGGTGCCGGCGCCCTCACTCATCGCCGTCCTCCTCGTCCGATCCGGCGCCACCCGGCGCCCCGCCCATGCCGGCGAGCGCACCCATCAGACTCGGGTCCGCCATCGCCTTTTGCATCTCCTCCATGAAGGCCGGGTCCGACCTGGCGGGGGCACCACGGCAGCTGGGGGCGGCGGCGGCGCGGCGGCGCGCCCTCATCCTCTGCCAATCTCGACCAATCTCGTCCAAGCTCGGCGATTCTCGGCTAGTCTGGGTCGGGCGCACATCATCTTTTCGGCTTGCTCCTTGAGCTGATCAAACATGGGGTCCTTGGTGAGTTGCTCGGCGTAGGCCTTCATCGACTCGAGGAAGGCCGGGTCCTCCATCATCTGCTTGAACCGCTCCTGCCGCCGCGAAGGGGCCGAGGTGTGAGGGTGGCTCAGCCTCCCTCGCCACCACAGCGACTGGCTGGCATAGCGCCTGGGTGGCTGGGTCCTGCAGCTCCTTGAGAGCCTTCTGCAGGGTGGCCGGGTCCTGCAGCGACTTGGTGATCTCCGACAGGCCGCCCAGCCCTCCTGCACAGCGTGCGTGCGTCAGTTTAGGCCACCCACAGAGGCCTCTTCCAATGCGACCGGCGCGGGCAGCCGGCTCACCGGCGCCGCCGCCGCCGCCCAGGAAAGGGTTGGCGAGACTCGGCCCGTCGTCGTCCACCGCCACCTCCTCGCCGCCGCCCTCCAGCTCCTCGTCCAGCTCGTCCCCATCCTCGTCCTCGTCCTCGTCCTCGTCTGCAGCGCCGCCTCTCAACCGCTCGACGAGCGACGCACGCGTGCTGGGCGCGCGCCCCGCGAGGCTTTGGCGCGAGGAGAATGCCGGCGGCGCGAGCAGCGCCGCCTCGCAGATCGCTGCGAGGCAGGCGCACAGCAGCAGCAAGAGCCTCGTCATATCTCAGATGTTGGTGGCGTTCTCTCTCGACGCGGGGCAGTGCGAGTTCGGAGAAAAACGAGTGCAAACTGCCGTCCCAATCGTTGCGCGGCCTTCGGGCGGGGCTGCGCCTCGTTGCCCCCTTCCCCCCACCCCCCAGCGATTCATGGGCAGCCCCCCAGCGATTGATGGAAGCCCCCAAGCATCCATGGAGATCCCCCAGGGAGACCCCCCAGCGAGTCCCCCTAGGGAGTCCCCCCAGAGAGACCACCCAGGGAGACCCCTCAGGGAGACCCCTCGCGGCAAACGGAGTCCCTCCGACGGCTAGATAAGAGGATCCGCGTTTCGCCATCACAGCCGATTTCCTTTGTGCCCGCGTTTGTGTTCCGTTCTCCCACCCACCCCCCTTTCGCCGTCATTTTCTTTCTCCTCGTAGCAGTAAATAAATAGAGCAGTCACCTCCAGGAGAGATGGGCGACGCACGAACACAGAGGCAGAGTCACAGTGCGCACCTGCGCACCCCGCCCCGCTCGCAGGGCGTGCATCACACAGGGCGTGCATCACACAGGTGGACTGGGTGACTCCTCGGGTTTCTGGGGACTCTTGACAGAGGTGTGCTAGTCCAACGTAGCAGTGTTCCTAGCTGTGTTCACCCCCGTGTTGTTTTGTCTTTTTGGTCGTATGTGGTTCTTACGAACATACCGAGGGTGAACTGCTGTGTCTTGTCTGCCAACAATACACCTAATGCTGACGGGGTTCGACACAAGCTTTTTCGCTTTCGGCTTTCGCGCCCATTTTCGATGGCGACGGGCGCGTCCTGCGTTGCCTTTTGAGGTGCGATGCGACGCGGCTACTCGTACGGCCGCCCTGCCGTCGAGACCTCATACGAGAAGCAGGTGCTCGCGCTCAGCCGCGCCTGCGCCGAGTTCGGCCTCGCGGCGGAAGAGGTGCTCGCCATGCCGCCTGCTCGGTACAACTCGTGCCACGGCAATTCCTATGCCGTGTGGAACAAGGCTCAGCTTTCCGAGGCCCGCGCGCAAAAGAGGCAGCAGGAGGAGCGTCGACAGGAGGAGGCGCACGGCGGTGCCGCTGGCCTGGCTGCGCACCGCGCAAAGCTTGCAGCCGCAGAGGCGCACCATGCGGCAGCCTCAAAGGTCCGGACCCTGCGTGAGTCCATTGCCGAGCTTCAGCCGGGGCGGACGCTTCCGGCATGCCTGCCCTCGTTTTGTGCGAGCAAGGCCGCGGCCAAGCGTGCCTATTTCCTCACCGACAAGGATCTGAAGAGCGTCAACTACCAAGACGGCGAGATGCTGCTGAAGGCGGCGCAAAAGAAGCACGGCGCGCTGGGGTTTAACCAAAAGCGGCAGGCGGCGGCAGACGATGAGGTGGCGCCGCGGCGGCTGTCGCTCGAGGCCGAGCTTTGCGCGCTGGAGTCAAAGTACCCGGACCTCAAGATCTCGGCGCGGAAAGCTGCGGAGGTGGACGCAGCCCGGCTGGAGGCCGAGGCGCGGGAGGCCGAGGTGAAGGCCGCGGCGGCGGCGGCAACGGCCAAGGTGCTGCGGACCAAGGCCAACGCCGCGCGCGGCAAGGCGCAGCGCTTGGCGTCGGAGGAGGGCGGTGGCGGCTCTGGGGCGTCCTCTAGCTCCGCCCCTGTCGCCGCGACAGCCTCTGGCAAGCGCAAGGCCCCGGAACTTGGCGCCGCCTCGGACGGAGAGTCGCCGGCGGTGCCATCAAAGCTTGCTCCCATCTTCATGATGCAGAAACAGACGGCCGCCTGAGGTATTGAGGTGACTACTCGTGGAGCACATTCCACAGTTCGAGGACCAGCCCTTGCTCGAACGTCTCTCGGGCCGGCTTTACCGGTGGGCGGCCGGGCGCCGCATGGAGTCTCTGCGTGGAGTACAGCAGAGGACTCAACTCTCAGGATTATCGCACAAAAACCCATTTCTGACCCAAAATAACTTTTCAAGCACCACAAGAAGACAGAAGAGTAAGAACCACAGACAAGGGAGAACGATAGACAGAGCACTTGGAGCACTTGTGGAGTCTCGCCAGTAAAAAGCCGTACTATAATAGAACTATACTGCGGCAGTACCCGGGACAACATTTGGAACCGCCGAAATAGTCAGAGGCTGCGCAGGCCGTCTCGTTTGCATGTTTGCAGAAAAAACGGTTTCCCACAACATGTGTCACACACGGCGGCTCCGGCTGCGGCACCTCTCGATGGGTTCCACTTTCTACGCACACCCACACGCACAGGGAATCAGGGAAATCTGCAGGGTCTCACGTAGATCACATACCCTCTCACGAGACACAGGCCCTAACCGCACACACCGGGGAAGGGGCGCTTGGGAGCGGGGGCGGGGGTGGGGGCGGGGGCGGGGACGGGGGCGGCGGCGGCGGCGCGCGCGCGCGAGGGGTGGGGACGCTGCCGTGCGCGCTGCACGCACACGCGCGCACCACACGCCACACGGAGGGAGAGACGGCGAGGAGGCGGCGGCGGCGACGGCGGCGGCAGCGCGCGCGCGGCGCGCGCGACGGCGGGGGGGCGGAGCAGCGACCGCTGGCGCGGCCGCTGCTCCGTCTGTGCCAGACACGCGCGCTCTGCTTGTGCAGAGCGCGTGAAGGCAAGGGCAAACGTGGCGGCGCGGGACGCGCGGCGGCGGCGGCGAGCAGCCGAGCGCTCCGTGAGCGGTGAGGCGGCCGGGCGAGGGCGCGGCGGGTGACGGGTCAAGGGAGCAGCCCACACCCGGCGTCGCTTTTTGAGCGACGCCTGTGGCACGCCTGCGCAGGGGCCGCAGGGCGGTCGGTGGTGGAGCGAGGCGGTGCCAGCCGCGGGCCGGGTGCAAGGCGCCGGCCTCGGCGCCGCCTTGGCGCGCCGCACGGGCGCGGCGAGCCTCTGAGCGGGAGCCGAAGGTTTGCTGCGGTAGGTGGGAGGGAGGTGGCCGTAGGGGGTGGGGTGAATCTGACTTTGCCGCAGAGGCCGTCCCTAGCTGTGAACAGCAAAACGGGACAGTATTCGCACAATGTCTAGTCCGACGCCCGCCATATGACGCCCACCGCAGCCGCGTCGGTCGGCGCGCGCCGACGCCGACCATCACCACCGACCGACGGCTCGCACGGCCGTGCGGTGAGCAAAAATTTGGCTGCGCGCCTGCCGGATGCTCTGCAACGTCTGGACGCTCGCCAGAAACGCCAGGAAGCTTGCCTTCCACCCCTGGGCCCGAGGGCGAACGGTACGCCAGTGGTCGGCAGCCTCTGGGACGCTCCCACCCATCGGCTCCTCGACCTCATCGCCTGCGACGAGCCAGCATGGCTCGTCGCTCGACGGCAGCCTGCTCAGTATGCTCTCGGCATTCTGTACAGCCTCGCCAGGCTCTCTGTGACGGCCTGCAGGGCCGGCGCGGACCGCCTCGGGCGCGTGGCGCGATGGCCCTCCTCAGTACCTACCTCTTCGATGCCTGTCGGCTCTCCAATCTCGTCGCCGGCGGCAGGCCCGCATGGCGCGCTGCTCGATGGCAGCCTGCTCAGTACGCCTTGGACAGTGACTTCTGCCTCGCTGCTCTTACTGCAGCCGCCTCCGGGGCCGGCGCCGGCCGCCTCGCCAGCGCTGCCTACGCCTGCGACACACGTGTCGGCTCGCCGCCCGCGTCGCCCGCGGCGGGCCCGCATGGCGCGCCGCTCGTCGGGAGCGTTCCCAGCAGGCTGTGCAGGGCAGTCTGCCTCACTCAGGGCGCCGCCGCCGCTGCGCGGGGCCGCCACCGGCGCTGCTGCCGTGAACACTGCCGCCGTGTACGTCACCACCGCCTCTCTTCGTCGCCGATCTCGCCGACGCCGCTCGCCGCTCGCCGCCGCCCTGCCCTGCCCCGCCCAGCCCTCACACAAACACCCCCCCCACACACACACACAAAACACCTTGCCCCTGCCCTGCGCCTCACGCCTCGCGTCCCACCCGCGCACGACCCGAGACCCGCGCCCCCACGCCCCTCACCTCGCGCCTCACGCCTCCCTCCCCACCCTCTCAGGCATTTCTCCTCCCTGCTGCTCGCCGACGACTCCTCCCCCCGCATGACCGACGACTACCCGTCCTTCGGCGACTCTCCTCCCTCTTCGGCGCCAACGCCTACTACCGGGGGACCGTCGCCCTCGGGCGTACTGGCTTGATCCCAGCGGCACACGTCTACGAGGGGGGGCTCCGAAAGGTCGGCATGCCTGGCATGTCGGGCGACTAGGCAGGTCATCGACCTCCCCCCCCGCTTGTCCACCCGGCGTGAGGGGCAGGAGCGCAGCCATTCCAACGGCTGGGAAAGTTTCTGAACGGCCGCGCATGCGCCTGCATGCCGGCTTACTAAGGAGGTCCCTCGCTCCCGCCCCTCTCCCGGAAGACGCGCGCCGGCCCGGGTGACTCGCTTGCGAGGTAGATCCCGTTCCAGCCAGAGGCCGCGTGACCACCACAGGGACTGTCTGGCGCGGGAGGGGAGATCTCAGCCGAACGAACTCGCCGGGCACGCCGGCGAGGTGACGGTAGATCACCTCTTGAGGATCACCTCCGCCAGACGATCTCTCCCGACGGGGACTGGTCTTAGGCCATTCCAACGGCCAGGCCGCTCGCTTAACGCTTAAGGCTGATTGGCTAGACGAGCGGTCTACCTCCAACGGGGCGGTCTGGCAACGCGTGGATCCGGCCCGCCTCGGCGGGTTACGGTTTAGCGCGACGATCGGGGGAGCTCTGATCGCCGTACTCACCGGGACGCTGGTGAGGTGACGGTGGGAGGGCACCCCCCCAAACAACCCCTCCCGACGGGCGGGGACGCCATCACCCTCGCCCAGGGATCTACAATTGTCTTAAGGTCCGACAGGTTCGGCACCGGGCACCGCCTCGGTATACAAAATGCGCCTGCGGGCGGACCCTCACAGATCACAGATCACACTACCTCTCACCGCGGTTTTTTTGTGGAGCGAAAGAGGTCGCGAAAGGCTGCTCGTTGGCTTGGACGAAGGGCTTTCCCGAGCATGGCGCCGCGCGCAGCGAAGCAGTTGCTGCGCCTCCACGCGCCCGTGGCCCTCGCCGAAGCGGCGTCGCCGGCTGCGGCGGGCGCGCTGCTCGAGGCGCTCGCCAAGCACGTGCTGTATATCCACGGCCAGATCCCAGGGCCGTACGACGCCCTCGCGGCAGAGGCGCTCGGCCCATCCGGGCCGGCACCGGGCCGCTGCCGCAAGGCCTCGCGCCGGCGGACAATGCTTCGCCGAACGCGTAAGCTGGTCGCCTCCTTTAACCTCCTCTTTGGCGCCCTGCCTCGCGCCCTCGCCGCCGTCCAGCCTCCCGGCAGCGCACACGGCGGCAGCCCGCCGCTGGTGGCTGCGCTCGTCCTCGGCGGCTCGCTGGCGTCGCCGCGAGCCGTCTTCCTGGTCCGAGGCCACGCGGGCCCGACCGCCGCCGCGCCTTCCGCTGCAGAGCTGCGCGGCTTGCAGCGCCGTCTCGTGAGAGAGCTCGTCCGGGTGAGGCCCACCCGCCACGCCTCCCCGTCCCTCAATCTCTCCGCCCTGTCCGCGCTCTCACCGCCCGCCGCCCCTCACTCGGCGCCAGGTGTGCGGCGATCTCGCCAGCCTCCGACTCGGCCTCTGCCGGCTGCATCTGCTGCTGCAGGCGCCTCGTGCCGCACCGCTGCCGAGCCCGTTCCGCCCACGGCCTGCGTTGCGGCTCAAGCTGCGCCGCGCTCACGCCTGCTTTGTCGAGCTCGGCGCGCCGCCTGCGGAGGCCGGCTCAGCCTCCCTCGACGAGGCTTTGGGCTGGTGCGACGCGCCAGTGGACGGCATCGACCCCGCCTCCCCGCCCACCTCCGCCGCCGCCGCCGCCGCAGTGCGGAGCGAGCAGATTTGGTTCCACGCCATGGGCGCTTCGCTGCGCGGCTTCTCGATCTGAACCTTTCGTGATGCGTCGGAGCACAGGAAATCGCGCGTGTGCGGTGCCGCGTCGCGCGTGAGCGGAACGCGTCCGGGGCAGCAGCACTCCGTGCGCGGACAGGATATACACACGAATACACCACCTCCAGCACGCAACACCAGCAGCACGCGCGCGCCAGCCGCCACATCGCACATGACGCGCGCGTCGTGCTTCCGCGCTTGCGACGGCGGTGTGTGTGTGATGTATGTGAGCTCTGTCTTGACTGTCATCTTGGTCGTAATATTATTTGTCCACGTGAAACCGGAACCCGCCCCCTCACTCAGCTCGGTGTGTGTTACCCATCTCACAGTAGAGAGGTGTCCGTTTTTATTTATTTATTTATTTAGCTCGGTGTGTTGACGGTGAGTGCGATTGTGACACATGGCTCGCCACCAGCTCCCTCGTTCCAATGGCTGCCATGGCGAGGGTGAAGCCCACGAGAGCCGCAGCGCAGAGCCACCAACCCCACACACCTGCCGTGTCTTGCATTCGGGTCGCCTCAGCCAGCGCTCGCTCGCTCCGTGCCAGCTCGCTCCGCAGCATCGCGACCTCTGCCAGCGCAGCCTCAAGAGCGCCATTGCAGTCAAGGCGTGCCGGGCACCGGCCGGAGGCGCGTGCGACGCCGGCGCAGAGCTGGACGGCCAGCGACGCGCCGCCGCACATGGCCGCGGCGCCGCAGGCTGCGCCAAGCAACGTGAAGCACACCCAGACCAGACCCGCCTTTGGCTGAGCGCCGCCGCGCCACCCGGGCCTGCTCGGCCTAGGCGCCGCATCGCTCGGCGCGTCGTCATGCAGAGATACGAGCTCGGCGGCGCTCTGCAACCACAGCGGCTCCTCCTCGCCTGGCGAAGCGGCGCGAAGCCGGCTGACGATCCTCGTGAAGGAGCCACGGCGCTCAATCTTGGAAGCGGCTTTGGGCGGAGAGACTGCAGCTTCCGCCTCGCGGAGCCAGTCGGGCTCTGCCTCGCCGGCGTCATCGATGAGCGGCGGGGAGCCACGTTCGGCCATCGGCGGTCGGTGGGGCCCGGACGGGGGCATCTCGGAGGCGGGTGGCAGAAGCGCTGACGCGCGCGTGTCCTGCAAAGTGAGCAGGTTTGATCGAAGGTCAAGAATTAAAAAAGCCGCCCTGATGTGAGGTTGCCAGACCGAAAGGGCATTCAAACAGCGCCTGAACGCATGGCGTTCAGGCGGCACTTCTCTCGCGTCGGCTCCGCCGAGCGCTGCACAGAGACCATCTTCACTGACCACCAACGACAGGTGTGCGACTACGCGCTCGTCTACGCGGAGAAGAAGAACGACGGCGAAGCGCCGTACTCGGTCTCCTTCACCGCGACGCAGAGCGGCGACGTCATCGTACAGCTGCACCCGCACTCGCAGCTCGAACGCGCTGTGCGCCACGAGCGGCAGGCGCAGGCCACGGAGCCGCCTGCGAGCGCGAGCCCTGCGGCGCCGCCCGCCCCTGCCGCCGCGCCGCCAGCCGCGGAGCCGGCGCCCAAGACGTACGCCGCCGCAGCCGCATCGCAGCCGCAGGGTGCCACCGCGGGTGGCCAGCCCGCCGCGCCTGCGGGCCCGGCCGCCGCCGCGCGCGTGCCGCCGCCGCCCAGCGGCGGCGGAGTGCGCGGCTGCTCCTTCACTGTCCCTAACCCGGGCAGGAAGCGTGGGCAGCAGCAGCGCGGCAAGGGCCGCGGTGCCAGGGGCCGTGCCGATGCTGGACCCCGTCTCGTTGACAAGAACGCGCTGTCCGCGCGCGGCAGCGGGCCCTCGCGCCAGTCGCGCTCGCCGTCGCCCGACTCTCCGCCCGCCAAGCGGGCCGCCTCCTCCGCTGACTCGTCCGGCTATGAAACCGATACGCCGGACGAGGTGCAGCAGGAGGCGGTCCGCAGGGTATGCGGCGCGCTCGGCATGAGGGAGCAGTTCGAGGCGGCGATGGCGGCGGGCGAGCTGCTCGAGATGCTCGAGAGCTTGCCGCGAGGGGCGGTCGAGGCCTCTGTCCGACAGATGCGGGGTTACAACCGCACGGGCGAGTGGCCAGAGCCCATTCTCACCAGCCCTACCCCGCAGCGCGGCCGCTCGCCAAGCCCCGTCGATGAGTGGTCAGATGGTTAGTGCCCGAGAGCGAGGGGTCCGGGGGGAGCACAAACATAGGACGCCCAGCCTTGCCCTCGTGCCGCCGAGTGCATATCCTATGCGAGAGAGATCCCCTGTGCCCTGTGCCCAGCCCTCTCCGCGCGGCGATGCGCCCTCCCCCCTCGCTTTTGCAAAATCCTGCAAAGGTGGGGACGTGTCTGTCCTCGACCCAGCCCTAGCTTGGGATGTCCGTTGTATTTATTTATTTATGCCACTGCAGTCCAAGTGCTCCAAATTGATGGCGGAATTTCGACGCAAATATGTTACCGCCCTGGCGTTCCCAACTGCACTCCAAGTGCTCTCCCGTGTCTACGTTTGCCCCCCTCCTGCGAATGCGCACGGCAACAAAACAACTCTCTCTCTCTCGCACGGCGCACGCTTAGGCTGTATATACTTTTCCTCTCGCACCCCGTCTCTTTTCCTTTCCTTTTTTCTCTACAGCACCCTCTCTTTTCCCCTCTATTTTCCCGGGGAAACCATCAAATTTTCCGGGCTCTGAGCCGAGTCTGAGGCTGGTTTGAGCAGGCCCCAAATGACGTGTGAGTGTTAGAGTTGTTGCTGGTTTGGGCCCAAAATCAGCCAAATCGGCAAAATGCCGGGTATTTTGCGGGTATTGCATACCACTATACCATACCACTCCAAAACTAATCAAAATATCACCAAATACCGGTCTCATACCGGTAAAGTTTGAACACTGGCTCCTCCTGCCGCTCGTCATCCTCCGCCTCGAGGGCGTCCGCCAGCGCGCTGCGCTGCACACCCCGGCGCACAGGAGGCGGCGCCGGCCGCACCTCGGCCACCTCGGCGTCGCCCGCGGCACGGGCGCCCTGCTCGCCGTCCACGCGGTCCATCGCCGCATCCCCATCCCCGTCTGCGGCAGCGCCGCCTGCGCCCGTGCCGGCCTGCTCTGCGACGGCTCGCCACCGCTCGTCGTCCAGCATGTGCCACCACCGCCGATCCGGGTAGCCGTTGCGCGATCCGTCCGTCCCCGTCCTCCTCCCGCGCCATGACGGTCGCAGGGTACCACCGCTCACTGTCGCAGAAGATCTCGAGGCGCGATCCGGTGGACAGGACAGTGTGGCCGTCGAGCGCCGCCCTGGCATCCTCGCGCTGTCGCTTCCGCCGCTTCGCCTTCGTCTCCTTGCTGCGCAGCAGGGTGTAGTTCGGGCCCACCTCCGCCACGCTGTCCAGCAGCTGGGCGGCGCTCGCCATCTCGACCGCGTCGTCCTCCGGCGGAAGCTCCGCGTCGCCCGCCTGGGGTCTCGACGGGCCCCCGGGGGCGACGGGGGTGCTCTCCGGCCGCGGCGGCCGAAAACGGGGACCTCTAACTAGGTCTAACTTTGAAGTGATGCACTTGATGCAAGGGTGCCATTGTGCTCTACTACAAAAGTTGTGTAAGATGCCCAAGTCTCAGACACTCAATCCTTAGCGGAGCTGAGTTCTGACGGTGTGAACACGAGCAACCGGAGTGACGACCGGGACCGGGCCGCACGCCGGGAGTGCCCCGACTAGCAGTGACGGGCGCGGATGAGTGAATGAGAGGTCGCTATCTGTGGGAGATGTGTTGTTAAAGACTAGGACTGCCTATCTCTCGCTGAAAGGAACCTCTCATTCGCTCGTCCGCACCCGTCACCGCTCGCGGAGTGCTCCGCGTGCCGCACCGGCCGCCGCCGGCCGCCGGCCGCTCACGGTAACGGAACAGTCTTACTACTCCACAACGTCGAGCTGGATCAAACTGAATAGTGCTCCTGAAAGCCCTCTCTCTGGGCTCTGCCACACAGTAGCAGCTCACGACTAGCAGCTGGTGTGGCTGTATTTGTAGCCATTTTTAGGCTTCAACTGGTCCCAAAATAGTAGCAACACCTCATGAAAATCAGTCAAAAAAGCCCCAAAAAATCGGCGCCTGCGGCGGGCTACCTGGGGCTGCGCCCCAGACCCCCTTGACTGGGGGGACCCCCCGCGAGAGCACCCCCGTCGCCCCCGGGGGCCCGTCGACACCCCAGGGTCGCCCGCGGCCGCTTCCCGAGCGCGCTCGTCGCGCATCCGCTCGTGGTGGGCCTGCCGACGCGCCACGCCGGCGCCCGTGTGCCTCGCCGCCGCGTCCGGTGACGGCATCGGTCGCTGCCACAGGTCGTCCCACAGGTCGTCCCAACAGGTCGTCCCAAAGGGGACGCATCCAAACCGCCGCATTTCGCCCGCCGAATTCTCCCACTCGCTCTGCCCCAATCTCGAACAAATCTCGAGTCCTCTCACTAGTTACATACATACCTGCGGAAAACCCCGGGTATACCTGGAAAAAGCCCGGGATGTTGCCGGTTTCCTCGATTTTGCCTCAGATTTTGCCCCAGACCAGCTCTCAGACTCAGGGAAACTCGTCCAGAATGGAGCACCAAACACCCTCTGTTTTCCCTGGAAATTTCCGGAAACGCAAAGTGCTGGGGCCGCCCTCTGTTTTCCTTTTTGTTTGCCGGAAAAATATATACAGGCCAAGGCGCACCCCCAGTGTCACCGTCGGGGCTTTCTTGCTCGTAGCCCGATCCCGTCGATCATCCGGCCCGCTGGGTGCGCTTCTTAGCTCCCCGGCCCTGGGGTGTGAGGCTAATGACTGCACTCCAAGTGCTACCACCGCTACGGGACGCCACCGGCAGCCGAGAAAGCGAGAATCTCGTCGAGCGCTGCTTTGGCTTCGGCGAGGTGGCGCAACGGCGTCTCTCGGTCCACCTGCACGCACAGGCTGGCCACGTTGAGCGGAGACGAGGAGGAGGAGTCGTGCGCCGGCACAGCTCGAGGCGAGGCGAGGCGGAGAGGCAGGGCTAGCCAGAGTTTACGAGATGTCTGAGGTTGGCCGAGAGAGCTCTCTCTGTCTCCCTCCCTCTCCCTCTCTCCCACACCTGCACGCCCTTGCCACGCGCGCCGGGGGAGTTCTGCTCCGACACAAAGTTGTTGTTGTACACGCCCATGTCGAGGAGCTGCAGTGCCTGCACAAAGTCTTGCCGAGGCACGACGAGCTCCTCGGCGGCTTCGCCTACAGCCGAGGGTGCAGCCGAGGGTGGAGGTCAGGGTGCCGCCGAGCCGGCCGACGAGCCTCCCTCGGCGGCGGCGGCGCCTTGCTCGGCGATATACCTCGTGACGAGCTTGGGCACGCTCGCCAGCGGCGCAGTCTTGACCACCGTGCGGACGGCGTCCCAGCTCCCGTCGGCAATCTGCGCCTGGCACGGATCGAGCTGGCGCCGCGCCTCCGCGAGCAATGCGCGCGTCTCCGTGGCCGGGTCGGCAGCGGAAGCGGGCAGCCGCACCATCGCCGCCGCCGCTGCGGTCGCCGTGCGGACTGCGCAAGCGCGGCTGACCGCACCGCCTCGTAGCCTCGCAGCAGCGGCAATGGTGTGGTCGCGCATGGCCGTCAGCGCAGAGGCGACCGGCTCAGACGAGGCAGCGGAGATGCGCTCGGCCAGCGAGCGCTCATATTCCGCTAGCTTGTCGTCGAGCGTCATGCCGTCGCGAAAGACGGAGCCAGACACGTGCGAGCCTGCCGAAAACGGCTCGAGCAGCAGCTCCGTGTGTGAATCGAGGAGCGACGCCGCGTCCGCCTCGCTCGCGCCGACCAGCGCGCCGAGCAGCCGAGCGAGGCGCACGTTGCGTGGCTCAACCGTCGCCGCACCCTCCTCGCTCGGGAAGAGACCCATGCTGAGCACGGGCGTGCGCGAGCAGCCGGCCGCGGCATGCGGCGCTGCTAATGACAGTGCCCGTGCGCCGATGGCGAGGGAGGAGAGGAGGGCGACGCTTACGCACGGTTTCATCTGCACGACGGCGGAGCGGAGGGCGATCAGCGTGTTCTCGAGCAGAACTCGGCTCTTGGCTGTTCTCGAGACCTCGAGAGAACTGTTGATGTTCTCGGCGTCGCCCGCCACCGCTGCCCCCCCCCCCCCTCAGCGTGTTCTTGGCAGCAGAAGTAAAGGTCTACACCCTTAGCACAACTCGGCTCTTTTTTCGTCAGCGTGTTCTCGAGCCCTCGAGAGAACTTCCCGCTGGCTTCCCGAAGGCGCACGCCTAAACGGGGATTTTCTCAATCAGCGCGCCGTGTCGTTAGGGCAGAGGAAGAGCGCAGCGGATGCAGTCGCCCAGCAGCAGCCGCCAGGGGCTGCTCGGCCTGACAGGTCCGGTGTGGCGCCGCTGCTCTAGCGCCGCTACCAGCGAGCCCGACCACCTCTGCCCCAGGCGCCTGGATCACCGCGCACCTCATCGACGGCAGCGTGCACCTCGGCTTTGTGCACGCTGTGGACCCCGAGACGGGCAACGTCGTGCTCCTCCGGCCCGAACCGGTGCAAAGCGCCACCGGCCACTGCTTATGGCTGGCGTCCGCCTGTCCTCGGCCACACCACAGTGCCAGATGTCCATCCGCGCGCTCCCAGACAGCGCCTCGACTTGCAGCTCGACTCATGGCACTCTCGCTCCCTCGCAGGCCGGCCCGCCCGGCGCCGTGCTGCCAATGGTACTGCTGCATGACGCCATCGCGGAGGTTTCCTCACACGGCGAGACTGGTCCTCAACATTTCCGCTGCGCCGGCCGCGACGTGCCACGTGGTCCGCATCCTCCCGCGTAGGCACTCCTCGCTCGCCGCCGGACTGCGGCCGCCCGCCCGCCCTGGCGCCCGCGTCGAGGCAGAGCGACTCGACCGCCACGCCCGCGGAGATCGAGGGGCGAAGAGACGCCATCTGCGAGGCGTCCCGGAGAGGGGCACATCTCAACAGACACACGCACGCACACGCAGACTGCACACACGCACACGCACACTCATATTCACACGAGCTCGGTTCGCCGTGCCAATGGCGTGTGGTCCCTTGAACGTCACCACGTCTCTTCTCCCGTAGATCGACGCAGATCCGCCGCACGCCTCCCAGTAGCACAAATCCAACTCGGCCCAATCTCCCCCACATCTCGCCCACATCTCGCCGCATCTCCCCATATCTCCGCCAAGCACGCCGCCTCCGCCCTCCCTCCCACACCACCATCACCACACACTCCGTCAGGCGCTCCGGCGGCAGCGCATCCCCTTCCAGCTGGAGGGGTGCGGAGGGGAAGACTTGCTGGTGCGCCGCAGCGCTTTTAGACCCCGACTATTTTTCATCACGGCGAGACCCCCAACCCCAAATGCTCAGGTGCTCGGTTGCCTGCGCTGCGTCCCGCCCTACAATGCGAGGGCGGTCTCGTGCGAGAACGAGATCGTGCTCAGCCGGTTTACGGAGCTGCTGGCCGGTGTGTGACGTGCGGGCGGGAGATGATGTGGCATGGGTGCGCGTTTGCGGAGAGTCTCTCTCGCGGGACTCTGGAGACTATCTATGACTAAGAAACGTGTGTGGTGTGTCAAAGTTTGAAGGTCCATATGTCAGTGTCTAGAAGCCAGAGCAGCCAGGGCAGCCAACGGACGCGCGCGAGGAGAGAACGGCGGAACCAGCTCGCGGCGCAACGGTTCATGGATCGAATACGATTCTCTGGGCCGGCGCGGGGGCCCCGGCCCACACCGTGCGCCCCGCGCCGCAGTGCGGAAAACCGGGGCTCCGGCGCTCAGAGACAGAGTCGCTCAGAGCACCAACTTCCCGAATGATTACGGTTGATTAGAGGGCAGATTTGGAGAGATCTCAAGGAGTACACACAGATAGACCCTCCAATCATGAGAAACCTCCAACCTGATCGGTCGTACTGACCGCCGACAGATCACTGCAGACAGCAGACAGGCCAACGTCTGCACGCGGCCGGCCGGGCGAGAGGCTTGACACGATCCGACCCTGCGACCCTGACGCTGCTGCTCTAGCTATCAGCCATGCACTGCTGACTGCTGCCACATGTGCGACCTGTGCTGGCCCACTTGGCGGCCTTCCCGGTCAGTGGTGAGGCGCAGTTCAGAGCTGTCGATGGCGCGATGCCGCACTGGTCCCACATTGGTGACACGATACCACCAAGTTTGCCGGTCCAAGAGAGAGGCACCGGCGCTGTCCTGAGAAGGTGCGTGGTCCCTTTTGACTGCCCATGCGCGCGAGGCTGTGTAGGCATAGCCTCGAGAGTGCCAGCAGCCAATCCGAGGTGACGCGCATTGCGTCAGAAGCGTGCACACGATGGAAGGACACCTTCCTACTGGCCGTACGATCAGGTCGTCACTGAATGCTTGATACTAAGGCCGCGAGCTATGCAGGTGATCAATTGTGCATCATGGCACGGTCAGCAGCGCCGACAGGCTGTCGCAAGGCGTGATAGCATGGCCCCGCAAGGACGCCCGAATTCCCATGAAAACAAGTAAAAAATCGCCAAAAAAGAAAAAAAGCGCGGAAAAATCGGCGCCTGCGGCGGGCTGGGGGACCCCATCTCCCCCCCGCATGGACACCCTCTGGGGCCCCCGCGCCGGCCCAGAGATACGATTCGAACTGCGGCTCGGGCACAGGGGGGGCGAAACTAGGCAAGCCCGCGCCGGCCAAGCCAACGACGACAGCGACGTTGGCGCAAGAAGCGACGACGAGGAGACAGCGGCGACCGCGCAGCAGAGCCAGGACCGAGCGAGCAACCACCCGAAACGGGCCGCCCAAACGAAGGCAGCCAGGCAGACGACGAATTCACAGTGATGGACGTAGACGAGGAACAGCCAGAGCACGAGACGTCCCAGCCGCCGAGGAAGCGGGGGCGATTTGAGAATGAACGTAGCGACTCGATGAATCAGGGAGAGGGAGCGAGCCAACAGCACTCAGAGGACGGGGGGCCGGTGACGTACGGGGAGGAGCGCGCACGCACTGCAGGGGACGAAAGGCACGAAGGCGCCCCCCCACCGGGGTGGGTGCGAGGAGGCGAGATGCGGGGGGCACAGCTTGGACGGCAGGCGCGCAAGAGACAGAAAGCCAGGGAACAAAGAGGAGGCAAGTAGGGGGGGTGGCTCGTAACTGAGGTTCGCCTTCAGGGACAGCCGCCTCCCTGAGTGGTGATTGTTGTTCATAACGATATCCCTACAACCACGATCGATGCGAGGACGCAAGTCCACACCAAACTCGGCCATTCCAAAGGCCAGACCGCTCGCTTAAGGCTGATTGGCTAGACGAGCGGTCTACCCCCACGGGGCTGTTGGCACAGGGGGAGCAGAGGGGGAGGTGGCAATCACGCTCCCCCGCTCCCGGGACGCCGGAGAGATCGGGTTGGTCTCCCCCGCCCTCAGCCCTGACCCGACGGGGACGCCACCACCCTCGCCCAGGGATCTACAACGCTGTCTTAAGGTCCGACAGGTTCGGCACCGGGCACCGCCTCGGTATACAAAATGCGCCTGCGAGCGGACCCTTACAGATCACAGATCACAGAATCCTGCACTTCCCGCGCGCAGAACGTCCGACACGTGTCTCGTTCGGCCGGCGAAGCCCCCGCTCGCGCTTGCCCTCGGGGACCATCCCTGCTGTATTGATACCGCACTGCCGGTCTGCCGCCGCGCGCGTGCTGCGCACCATCGTGCGTTATGTCCATCGCCCGCAACGCCGCACTGCTCTCAGCGAACTTTGTCGCCGCCATCATGTGCATCTCGCTGAACCGCGAGACCTTCAAGTCCTTCCCGTTCCCTGCAGCGCTCACGACGCTGCACTACGCTGTCGCGGCGAGCAATCGAGTTCGTGCATGTGGCGGGCGGATTTGAGAAGCGGCCAGTCCCGCTGACGCAGCGCCACAATTTCTACCTCCTCGTGTGCTGCTGGAGCGCGTGCAACGCTCTCTCCAACGTCTCGCTCGACCGAAACTCCGTCGGCTTCTACCAGCTCGTTAAGATCCTTGTGACACCATCGCTGGTCGCATTTGACTTTGTGGTGTACGGGCGGCGCACGACGCTGCTGCAAGGCGTCGCGCTGGTACTCGCCTGCCTCGGTGTGGGCGTGGCAAGCGTCGACGACGTGCAGGTCAACGCCTATGGTGCGCTCATCGCGTGCTCGGCAGTCATCACCGCGGCGGCACAAAAGGTGCTCAACATGCACGTGCAACAGGTCGGTGGGCTCAGTGCGCTGCAGGTGCTGAGCAACGCGCTCCCCGCCATGACGCTCCTCTCCCTCGCCTACGTGCCGCTGCTGGACCGGGACCTGCCGCACCTCGCCACCTGCGATTGGGTGAGATTCAGCCGGCAAACCGAGATTAAAATCGGGATTTCGAGATGCGGCCGACATACAGTCGAGATACAAACGAGCTCGGTCGACGTACAGCGGTACAGCTTGCACGCGCCTCACCGCTCCTCCCTCGCCACTCTCCACCACCCGTCGCACTTGCCTCTTCCTAGGCAAGCGTAAGGACCTTCGGCTTCATCCTGGCGAGTGCGCTCGCTGCGCTAGCGGCGACCACATCACGATGGCTACCTCGCTGACAGGTGACAGCCACCGAGATCACCTTCTCCTACGAGATTAGGCGACCACGTCGGCGACGGCCATCTTCGGGCTGATTAGCGCGCTGGCACACGTGCTGCTGGGGCAGGTCAGGCCGTACGGCTGTTTCTCGGCTATCTCTCGGCTGTCTTCTGGCCAGCCCATCTCCTTGCTATCGTAGGTCAAAACCTGCTCCGTCATCGTCGTGGGCGCGCTCTTCTACGACGCTCCTCCGACGCCGCAGGACTCTGCAGTCAGCACTGTAGCAACACTGGCTCGCATTGGGAAAGCAGGCTGCCCCATTGCCCATACCTCCTTCGGATCGTCTCTGTGCTCGCAGGGCATGGCGGGGGCAGCTCTCGCACTATTGGCCATCACCGGCTTCTCGCTGCTGCGGCTGCCCGCCATTGGTGCGGCAGCGGCCAACGACG